TGGTAACAGACCCCTGGTAACGGGGGACATGGTAACAGACCCCTGGTGACAGACTCCACGGTAACATGCCTACCCTGTACCCCTGGATGCAGTGAGCACGGTGACAGACTCCTGGTGATGGAGATCCCCCTCCCACCTCTCCCCCGGGGTGAGGCCATTAATTGGGTCCTGGGAAAGTGTTGATGACTCTGCAGGCCCTCTGCATGTTCACCTCCACAATTCTCAACCATCAGCTCCCTCTGAATTTGCTCCACATTTCCAGCATCAGCACTTGTTCATTTCTAGCTGACGTTGATTATCTACGATCGGGCCACAGGCCCCAGGAGGTGGCTGTTGCCAGAGTAACCAGCCGCACTGACCCAAATCGAAGCCGCAATGTTGGACGGTGTGAAGGCTGACCTTTGAACTGTGGCCTGTCTGGTTCAATTAGGCCTGAAGGCCCTGATCCCTCCCAGTGACTGGCTGGAAGACAATTCCTCACCGTCCAGGATTAAGATCAAATCCCTGTCAGTCCGATTAAAGATTAATCACAATTTTTTCAGAAATGGAGGAAGATTAGGCGCTGGAGGAGCAGAGAGATCCATGTTCTAAACCCAGGAATTACTTTAGAGGTTACTAAAATGTGTTGGACAGGTACAAAAAATTATTTTAAGAAACATAGAGGAATGGCAGCCTACATATCAGAGGCTGGGAGGTGAAGGGAGGATGTGAGGCCTCAGTTAGAGAAAGCTCTGGTCAGGCAATAGGCCCTGTTACAGGGGAGGCCATGGCTTTGTGGTATTGTCGCTGGACTGTTAATCCAGTGACCTGGATAATGTTCTGGGGACCCGGGTTCAAATCCTGCCACGGCAGGTGGTGGAATTTGAATTCAATAAAAATATCTGGAATTAAGAATCTAATAATTGCCGATTGTTGGAAAAACCCATCTGGTTCACTAATGTCCTTTAGGGAAGGAAACTGCCATCCTTACCTGGTCTGGCCTACATGTGACTCCAGACCCACAGCAATGTGGTTGACTCTGAACTGCCTTCTGGGCAATTAGGGATGGACAATAAATGTGGCCTGGTCAGCGACACATTCATCCCGCCAACAAAAACAAAAAAAAAAGGTTCTGTCAGGGGTCACTGGGTTCAGTAGTGGGCCCTTGTTCCTCCAGGAGGAGACAGTGACTCACAGACAGAGTGTGGCACAGATTCACCGGAACGTTCTTGGGGTTGAAATGGTTAAATGGTGAGGACAGGTTGTACAGTCTGCATTCTCTCCCAAACAACCCCCACCCCACACCCCTCAAAGCGCTGGCAGCCTGGGGGATATCTTCAAAATGGAGGCTGATGGATGTTTTATTGGAGGTATGGAGGAAGGCGGGGTGCGTGGAGTTGAGGCGCTAACTGGTATAGATGGGGGTGGGGTATCTGCTCCTCGGTCAGTGTAGTATCTGCTGGTCAGTGCCAGCTGGAAGAGCATAGGCAGAGTGACTGCCCCCAGTGTTCCTGGTTGGTGCTTCTCGAAGTTACTGATATCCCACACGGAGAAAGATGCTTTTACAACATCTAAGGCAGAAGCTGGGCCCACTCATACATAGAAACATAGAGGATAGGAGCAGGAAGAGGCCATTCAGCCCTTCGAGCCTGCTCTGCGATTCATCACTATCACGGCTGATCATCCAACTCAATAGCCTAATCCCGCTTTCTCCCCATAACCTTTGATGCCATTCGCCCCAAGTGCTATATCTAGCCACCTCTTGAATATATTCAATGTTTTGGCATCAACTACTTCCTGTGATAATGAATTCCACAGGTTCACCACTCTCTGGGTGAAGAAATGCTCCTCATCTCCGTCCTAAACGGTCTACCCCGAATCCTCACTCTGTGCCCCCTGGTTCTGGACACACCCACCATCGGGAACATCCTCCCTGCATCTACCCTGTCCAGTCCTGTTAGAGTTTTATAAGTCTCTATGAGATCCCCCCTTCATTCGCCTGAACTCTAGAAAAAACAATCCCAATCGAGTCAATCTCTCCTCATACGTCAGTCCCATCAACCCCAGAATCAGCCTGGTAAACCTTCGCTGCACTCCCTCGAGAGCAAGAGCATCCTTCCTCAGAAAAGGAGACCAAAACTGCACACAATATTCTCGATGTGGTCTCACCAAGGCCCTGTGTAGCTGCAACAACACATCCCTGCTCCTGTACTCAACCTCTTGCAATAGTAAATGAACACGGAATGTTGGTCTTTATTTCCAAGGGAATGGAATACAAAAGTAGGAAAGCCTTGCTCAAACTGTGCAAGGCTGGAAAATGAGATTTACAGACTCAGTGGGCTGAAGGGCCTTTTTCTATAGTGGAGATGGTGATGGCTCTAAATCTAACGTGTTAGTCAGACCACAGCTGGAATACTGTGGGACCCCTGCTCTAAGGATAGATAGAGTAGCATCGGAGACAGTCCAGCGATGGTTCGCTCTGTGGATCCAGGGTATGGGTACAGACTTATGAGAAGACATTGAGTAGGTTGGGTCTGTATTCATTGGAGTTTAGATGATTGAGAGGTGACCTTATTGAAACACATAGGATTCTTAGGGGCCTTGACAGGGGAGATGTGGAGAGGTTGTTTCTCCTTGTGGGAGAGTCTAGGGCCAGAGGACATCATCTCAGAATAATATTTATATTAAATATTAAATATTTAAGACAGAGATGAGGAGGAATTTCTTCTCTCAGAGGGGAGTGAATCTGTGGAATTATTTACCACAGGGGTTGTAAAAGCTGGGTCATTGAGTATATTAAAGGCTGAGACAGACAGATTTGTAATCAATAAGGGGATCAGGGGTTTGGGGGAAGAGGCAGGAACATTGTGGATGATGAGATCAACCATGATTTTATTGAATGGCAGAGCAGACTTGATGGCCCGAATGACCTACTTCAGCCCCTATGTTTCCTGACCCTATTAAGGTCTGATAGTGAAGCTTCATTATACTGCATTTAAGAGCTAGTTACATCTGAGCCATAAGATGGTCTTTTGTGAGATCTTAGGATAGAATTAAGAAGTTCACATTACTTCTGGTAATGTGACATAGCACTAGAACAACGGGAAATCTCAAAGACCCGCACAAACCCTCAGTCCTCTTCCTGATGGCCAGAGCTAATCTTCTGATGTCAGTGAACCCTTTCAGGTACAAAACAGATCAGTCCCAATCAGATTGAATGGTGGAACAGGCTCGATGGGCCGCATGTTCTCCTCAGTTGGAAGTCACAGATCACAGGACTGTGATAGCACAGAAGAGGCCATTTGGCCCATCATGTCTAGACCAGCTCTCTGAAAGAGTGTCCCATCCAGTACCATTCGCCCATGACCCTGACCACCCGCTGCATGAAAACATTTCTCCCTGTGTCCCCATCAATTACCAATCACCCTCAATCTGTGTATTCTCTCATTCTCCATCCTTCCACCATAGAATCCCTACAGTGCAGAAACAGGCCATTCGGCCCAACAAGTCCACACCACCCCTCTGAAGAGCATCCCACCCTGACTTATTCCCCTTACCCCTGCATTCTCCCCATGTCTAACCTACACATCCCCGAACACTACGGGTAATTTAGCATGGCCAATCCACCCTAACCTGCACATCTTTGGACTGTGGGAGGAAACCGGAGCACCCGGAGGAAACCCACACAGACACGGGGAGAATGTGCAAACTCCACACAGACAGTCGCCCGAAGGTGGAATTGAACCTGGGTCCCTGGCGCTGTGAGGCAGCAGTGTTCTCTCTCTCTCTCTCTCTCTGCTCTCTGTGTCTGGATCCCTCACTGATTTCAAATATCTCGTTTGGATCTCTCTACACCATTCTCCTCTCTGAGGAATACCTCTTGTCCAGTCTGTTCCCGGAACCACGCTCTCTCATCCCTGCGATCGTTGGTGAATGTTTGAAATGCACCACTCAGTGGGAGAAAACCTCTTCCTGGGTTTTAGCTGAGTCTGTTTCAGGCCGGGAATCCTGGTTAAGTGAATGGTTTAATCTTGGGGATCCTGTTTAAAGGCAACATTCCTTTTTACAGGCACAATAATATGGACATCTCCCACAAACATTCCCAGCAATGAGTACTGTTAGTCAGGGTGGAGGTATCTTCAGGTTTGATAAACCCAATCACCATTGGCTATTGTACTTTATGTTCAATGGGAGTGTAATTCTGTTCGAATCCTCTTCCTTCAACTCATGGGATTAACTTTCTCTCTTACTTCTGGCAGGAGCAGGGATCTGTTTCCACGGAGACCAGGGCAAGGCCTAGAAGCCCCAAGTGCGGTTTCTCGCTGAAGGATGAGCTGGTGGACCATGAGAGTATGTAAAACTTTTTGGAAAATGTCCTGGATGTTGGTTTTCCACTGAATGTACACTACGACATGACTGAGAGGGTCAGAGTTTGGTCTGGGGGGTTATGGGGTGGGGGTGGGGAGTGGGCAGCGGGAGGGGGAAGAGGCCTCTTGTTTCTGGGCTCTCTCGGGTCCTCCTTCTCCCAGAGAAACTCCCAATCTCCCTGGGATCCCAAAGAGAGGACCACTGTCTCTTGGGGAAACAGAGCAGGGACAATCAATGTGGGTTTATCAGAGGAGAATTCTCCAGGAATCAATAAACAACAGACAGGATGATGGTGTTGTGGATTAATAATCCCAGACAATACCGGGAACACTCCTGGGTTTGAATCCTACCATCTTAAATTTTAGTTTTTAATAGCTTGGAATTAAACATTGACTGTGGTAAATGGTCCCTCAGCGATAGTAAACTACCAACAAGTCTTAACAAAGGAATGAAATGGCATGGACCATCAGCTGACCCTGCAAAGTCCTCTTCACTAACATCTGGGGGTTAGTGCCAAAGTTGGGAGAGCTGTCTCGCAGACTAGTCAAGCAACAGCCTGACACAGTCATACTCACAGAATCATACCTTACAAACAATGTCCCACACACCACCATCACCATCCCTGGATATGTCCTGTCCCACCAGCAGGACAGACCCAGCAGAGGTGGCGACACAGTGGGATACAGTCGGGAGGGAGTTACTCTGGGAGTCCTCAGCATTGACTCCAGACCCCCATGAAGTCTCGTGGCTTCAGGTTAAACGTGGGGAAGGAAACCTCCTGCTGATTACCACGTACCGTCCTCCCTCAGCTGGTGAATCGGTACTCCTTCATGTTGAGCAACACTTGGAGGAAGCACTGAAGATGACAAGGGCACAAAATGTACTCTGGGTGGGGGATTTCAATGTCCACCACCAAGAGTGGCTCAGCAGCAGTACTACTGATCGAGCTGGTCGGGTCCTAAAGGACATAGCTGCTAGACTGGGTCTGCGGCAGGTGGTGAGGGAACCAACAAGAGGGAAAAACATACTTGACCTCATCCTCACCAATCTGCCGACTGCAGATACATCTGTCCATGACAGTATCGGTAAGAGTGACCATCGCACAGTCCTTGTGGAGACCAAGTCTTATCTTCTGGAATTAAAGCCCAGACTCATGGTGGCTGTTGCCAATTGTCGGTAAAACCCCTCTGGTTCACTAATGTCCTTTAGGGAAGGAAACTGCCATCCTTACCTGGTCTGGCCTACATGTGACTCCAGGCCCACAGCAATGTGTATGGCTCTCAACTGCCCCCTGCAGTAGCTGTGTGAGACAGTTGAAGGGTCAATGAATGGCCCTATCAGTGACAGTCATGTCCCATGAACAAAGGAAGGATGTCTATAGAGGCAGGTAAGAGTCCAGGACAGGGTGATGGCATCCTGGTGAGACAGGCCTTCAGAGAAGCTGGTGAGGAGATGGTGAACCGACAGCATCACGGTCCACATTGGCACCAATGACTGAGACAGAAAGACAGATCTCTTCCTGCAGCCAGAATTCAGGAATCCAGTTGGAAATGAGAAAGCAGGGACCTCCAAAGGTGGAAGATCAGGTCACTCCTGGAACTCAGTGCAAGTGAGCTGTGGAAATGGGAGGACGCAGAGGAATGTGTGTCTGCAGGGATTGTGCAGGAGGGAGGGAGATTGAAGAGAAAATGGAAGCCAGACCACTATCAGACCAGCTGTGATTGGTGGAACAGGCATGGAGGGCCGAATGGCCTACCGTGATCATACTCCTGGGAGCGGCCCTGGGGGAAGGGGCTGATCAGGTCAGGAGGATAGCACTGAAAACGGAGCTGGGAATCTGCTCCTTGTGGGGGCACATGTGATTTGAGAGGTTTGCGAACCAAGAGATTACATTCCAGTAAGGTACTCCGAGAAATGAGGGATAACGAGAGCAGGAGATCCATGGGCTCAGAGATAGGGGGAGTGTAACAATGTCTACATGGTGTTACTGTGCCCATGGGTGAATGTATGCACTCTGAGCGATTAATCAGTGAGGGGCAGACTGGGTGGTCCTGTCAAATTCCAGTAACAGAGCCCTGGCTCCGAGATGGGCAGGTGCTGGGGTTAAATATTCCTGGATACAAGGTGTTCACGAAAGGAGGGAATGGGGAGGTGTGGCAGCGTTAATAAAGGAGGTGATCAGAATGCTCGAGAGAGAGAGGGACGACCCATGGGGGTGGAGGGGTCAAGGGGAGAATCTATTTAGTTCGAGGCAAGAAACAATAGAAGAACTATTGCACCAGGGAGTGTATTCTGAGGTGAGCAACAGGAGGACGAGTTAAAGAGGAACAAAACTTGCTTGGATATTACAGAGAGATGCAAACAGTAGTGAGGTTTGGAGGCAGAAGCTGTGAGCTGCTGTTGCTTTCAGTGTTTGGAAAGACGGTGTGAAATGAATGTTCTGTTTTTCTTTTAATTCTTAGGCTCCTCTGACAGCGATGGGACCAGCAGCAGTGAAGACAATTGGCTGCTTTCTGATATCGTGTCTCCACTCACAGAATTCCTCTCGTTGAAAGAGGAAATCGCTGGGGGAACGTTTTCACAGGCAGACAAGGAGCATCTCCACGGGAAGGTAGCTCAGCCTAGGGCTAGAACGGTAGCTAAAGCAGATGTAACACCTCAGCCCAACGCTGCTGCCTCTGACTCTCAACTCCGAGCTTGCCCTGGGGCGGCCAAACACAGAGAAAAACCGAGGATGGTGGTGGTCATAGTGGTTCGAGGCTGGCCCCATCTGAAGGGGCAATTAGAGACAAGGGGCAATAAAGGATGACCCCAAACAGTGATGCCATTGACCTGGGAACTAAATCTTTAAAAACACAGACAGCAGCAAAGTTTTAACATAAGCGATAGTTTTAAATAATGTGGGACTTGGATCTTCCTGATGGGAGAGGTGTTTCTGAGGAGTCATGTGTTTTCCACTGATCAGCATAAATGTGAGAATTACCCAAACTTCAAACAGTCACCACAACATTTAAGAGAGAGAGAGAGGAGAGGGAATCGCTTCTCTCAGGGGGGAGTGAATCTGTGGAATTCTTTACCTCAGACGGCTGTCAACGCTGGGTCATCGAGTATATTCAAGGCTGAGACAGACAGAGTTTTAATCCAGAAGGGGAATTGAGGTTTGTGAGGAAAAGGCAGAAAAGTGGAGTTGATGGTCATCAGATCAGCCATGATCTCATTAAATTTTAAAAAAATTTAGAACGGGGGGAAGGTTAGTTCAGATATGAAGTTATACAGTTATAGAGATGTGCAGCACAGAAACAGACCCTTTGGTCCAATCATTCATGTCAACCAGATATCCTAAATTAATCTGGTCCCATTTGCCAGCATTTGGCCCATATCCCCCTAAACCCTTCCTATCATATACCCATCCAGGTGCTTTTTAAATGTTGTAATTGTACCAGCCTATACCACTTCCTCTGGCAGCTCATTCCATACACACACCACCCTCTGCGTGAAAAAGTTGCCCCTTAGGTCCCTTTTAAATCTTTCCCCTCTCACCTTAAACCTATGCCCTCTAAGTTTTGGACCCCCCCCCACCCTGGGGAAAAGATCTTGTCTATTCACCCTATCCGTGCCCCTCATGATTTTAAAAACCTCTATAAGGTCACCCCTCAGCCTCCAACACTCCAGGGAAAATAACCCAGCCTATTCAGCCTCTCCCTATAGAACAAACCCTCCAACCCTGGCAACATTCTTGTAAATCTTTTCTGAACCCTTCCAAGTTTCACAACATCCTTCCTGTAGCAGGGAGACCAGAATTGGACACAGTATTCCAAAAGTGGCCTAACCAATGCCTTGTACAGCTGCAACATGACCTCCCAACTCCTATACTCGATGCACTGCCCAATAACGGTAAGCATATCAAACACCACCTTCACTTTCCTGTCTACCTGTGACTCTGCTTTCAAGGAATTATGAACCTGCACTCCAAGGTCTCTTTGCTCAGCAACACTCCCCAGAACCTTACCAATAAGTGTATAAGTCCTGCCCTGATTTGCCTTTTCAAAATACAGCACCTCACGTTTATCTAAATTAAATTCCGTCTTCCATTGCTCAGTCCATCGGTCCATCTGATCAATGTTCCATTTGCACTCTGAGGTAACCCTTTTCACTGTCCACTACACCTCCAACTTTGGTGTCATCTGCAAACTTACTAACCATATCTCCTATGAACACATCCAAATCATTTATATAAATGACAAAAAGCAGTGGACCCAGCTCTGATCCTGTGGCACACCACTGTCACAGGCCTCTAAGTCTGAAAAGCAACCCTCCTCCACCACCCCCTGCCTTCTACCTTCAAGCAGTTCTGTATCCAAACAGCTAGTTCTCCCTGTATTCCATGTGATCTAACCTTGCTAACCGGTCTACCATGTGGAACCTTGTTGAATGTCTTACTGAAGTCCATATAGATCACATCCACCACTCTGCCCTCATCAATCCTCTTCGTTACTTCTTCAAACAACTCAATCAAGTTAGTGAGAAATGATTTCCCACGCACAAAGCCATGTTGACTATCCCTAATCCGTCCTTGCCTTTCCAAATACATGTAAATCCTGTCCCGCAGGATTCCCTCCAACAACTTGCCCACCGCCAATGTCAGGCTCACCAGTCTATAGTTCCCTGGCTTTTCTTTACCCCCTTTCTTAAATAGTGGCACCACATTAGCCAATGTCCGGTCTTCCAACACCTCACCAGTGGCTATCAATGATACAAGTATCTCAGCAAAGGGCCCAGCAATCTCTTCCCCAGCTTCCCACACAGTTCTACAGTACATTTGATCAGGTCCTGGGGATTTATCCACCTGAATGCATTTTAAGATGTCCAATACCTCCTCCTCTGTAATATGAACTCTTTTCAAGGTGTCACTATTTATTTCCCCATGTTCTCTTTCTTCCATATCCTTCTCCACAATAAACACTGATGCTAAATACACGTTTAGTATCTCCCTCATCTCCTTCAACTCCATGCACAGGTGGCCTCGCTGATCTTTAAGGGGTCCTATTCTCACCCTTGTTACCCTTTTGTCCTTAATGTATTTGTAAAATCTCTTTGGATTCTCCTAAACTCTATTTGCCAAAACTATCTCATGTCCCCTTTTTGCCCTCCTGATTTCCTTCTTAAGTATACTCCTACTGCCCTTATACTCCTCTAGGGAGTCACTCGATCCCAGCTGTGTATACCTTACATAGGCTTCCTTCGTTTTCTACACCACAGCCTCAATTTCTCTGGTCATCCAGTATTCCCTACACCTACCAGCCTTACCCTGAAGACACCAATTGGTCATTGAGTCTGTACCATCAGAAATATACCATTACCTAGATTAGAGACACTTCCCCAAACAGTGGAGCAGAGTCAATGGGCCGAATGGCCTAATTCTGTTCCTATGTCCTTGTGGCATTGATTAATGCTGCAGGTTGCTGATTGGTTGGCAAGTTGACATGGATTGGTCTCAGCGTTACCATGGAGATGGGAACAGGAAGTAGAGGCTCCTGGAGACAACAAGTCCCTGGGTCATGTTTCTGACTGGAATGACAGTGTGTGGTCTGTGTTATTCCGGAGTGGGAGTACCTGCCAGAGGGCAGGGGGGAGGAATGACAGTGTGT